AATATGAAGTAAAACTCTCTAGCGGATGGGTAAATTTGAATTTCAACGGGTAAATTTCTAGCCATTCGAATGGGTCAAATCACCCTTCTACCTTTCCGTGATTCATGTATAAATAGGACATCCAGCTCCTTAGTTTTATATCATTTTTATAGCTTTCCTTCCGTCCTCAGTTGTATACCATCGAAGGTACTAATCTTGTTCCTTTTTTTCCATTTGTCTTTAGTCATGTTAAAAAAGCCTATCCGTTCTCGCTCCAACATCATCATTGTTCCTAATGATAATTTCAAGAACCATAAAATTTGATTTTACGAGGAAACTTGTACCTTCAATAATGATGACATCGAGGCCTTGAAGTCGGCTGGAACTTTTCCTACGGGTGCCATCTTTAGGACTTTTGATGCTAGGATCCAACCTGAATTTGTCTCTCCCTCTTGGGTTTGTTTTCCTGAATATCCTTTCACCTTAGGTCTTTCTTACCACTTCTCTGGAATCATTTCCAATTTTTTCGTGATCACTAAAGTCTCGTACATTCAAGCCATGCCAACGGTTTGGAGGATCCTCTATTGGATCGACCATTTGAACCGCTCCAGGGATCTTACCATTGGCTTAAATGAGCTAGCCTATATCTATGATCTTACAACATTTGGGAACTCTCGCTTCCTGTTAAAGGTCAAAACCGATAAATCGTCGCTTATGTTGAAATCCAAGCATAATGATGGTGCTTGGAAAGGGATATATTTCTTCGTGAAACCCGACTCGATTCCTGATGGAAATCTTTTATCACAATCTTGGATTAAAAAGGGTAGGGTCTCCTTTTTGTGTATTAAGAATCCTGACATTCACACTTCTTAATTTTTTTGATTTTTTGCAGCCTTCAAGTTCGATGAGCTAGTTCCTCCTGCTGAAGATACCAAGGATAGAATCAAGAGTTTCCTAACTGTGTCCGAGTCAGAGAGGTCATTTAGGCTTGGCCAGTTCAATTATCAAGAAAGTTCCTCTGCAACCGTCTCCATGTCGAAAGGTAAGGATCCTTCCGATATTTTTCCTTTTTTATTAAAGATTCTGAATTCATAATGTTTCTTTTTTCGTGCTCAGGATATAAGAGTACTCGGTCTGGTTCCCACTTCTCCCTTGCTAACTTGGATACGGCCATGTCCATCAATCAATTGGGGGTGAAGAAAGAGAGTACTTTGTCCTCACTTCCTATCATGAGAGTTGCCATAGATCTAACGGTGATGTGGATTTGAGCTTGGATAATCTCGGGGTGGAGGATGCACTATGAAAGCTGGTTTCCTTTTCTCAGGCTGTAAGTACCAACATCATTTTTCTTTTCATATTTTTCTCTTTATTGCTTTTAATTTCTTTTTTTAGGTCTCTAACCATATCTCTTCTGATTTGAGGATTCGGGCTGAGGGTCGAGCAAGTCTTCAAAGAGCAAGAGAAGATGTGGAAAGCAACCAATGAGGACCTCCTAAAAAGGGTGGAACTCTTGAGAAAAGAGAAGGCCGAGAAAGAGGAGGAGCACGAGGTGGAGACGGAGGAGGCGATCGCCGAGGTAAAGTCCAACGCTGCCTTGGCTGTTTGGGAGGCCAATATCAAACTAGCTGAAGATGTGGCCAACGTAGGATCCTGGAATCTAGTTGGGTGGCGAGCAGCCTTAGCCAAATTAAAGGGTGATCCTGCCAGCACTAATGAGGATCCTGAAGGGCCACAGTCGAAAGCGAATGAGGAGAAGAACACCCCAGACAATGATGACCTAGCCACGGTCTAGGCCTATTAGATAAGAATATTTTGAATGATTTTGTACAAGACAATGTCTGTTTCTTATGCAATCAATGTACCACTTCTTTGTTTATGTATGGTTGCTTAATACTACTCTCCTTGCATGGTTAATTTGCTTGATATGATTGTAGGATTTCTGAGGATCCTTAGATATTAAGGATCCTGAAAAGTTCAAATCATACAAGAACCTTTTTAGATCTGATTAGGCTAAAACGATTAGTCATCAAACTGGGATCTTAAAATAATTAAGATCTTTTAGGATAATAAAACGCTTTTATGTAGGAAAAACTAATTTTAAAGGATAGATAAGACTTGGTAATCATTAGGATTTGCGACCATTTGACTCATGAGAAGTCTTGAAGCTTTTGTATGGAAAAGATCTTGCTTTAGGAGTTCATCATGGAGGATCCTTAACTTAGTGAAGTGGGAAGGATCCCACCTTAAGAATCAATTGGAAATAACACCATCTTGGAGAAAAAATCGGGTAAACTCTTGTTTTGTATGATAATCTCACAAGCCTTGCATATTTTCAGGGGAGTATCCAAACTTTAGTCAACATGTTAATGTTATAGTTTTTAGCAGATCACTAGGGAAAATCCCAATTTCAAGGCAATACGTTGGTGTTACAAGCTTTAGTAAATCACTTAGGAAAATCCCAAATCGGATGATAACATGAAAATGTTATAGACCTTAAGTTTTTTCTGGGGAAGATCCCAACTTAGGATAACACGTAAGCGTTATTAACCTTAAAAAATCATTAGGGGGAAGATCCCAACTTAGGATAACACGTAAGTGTTATAGGCTTATGTTTAAACATTAGGATCTTGACATATGTTTAGAAATAAGAGGGTTGCCAAGTCACTAAAGCGTGAAATGATGCCCTTATTTACATCCCATAGTAAGATTTTTTGCATCCAAGTGAGGTGTAGAAACATTAACTCGTATGAAAGAGCTAATTAACTCTTTAAAACCTTAGAGTGTAGGAGAGATGACCAGTCTCTATTAGTAGTTATCTGAATAAGTACCTATTGCAGTCGTCAAGATTAGAGAACCATGTTTCTATTGGGATCCCTGAATCCTAGGATTCTCGAATGTCAGGATTGTTAAATGTCAGGATCCTTACCTGTGAGGATCCTTGAATGCTAGCAACCTTATGTGTTAGGATCTTTGATTTCCTGCGCATAGCAAATTTTTAGCTTGCTGCGGGTGTTAGCTTGGCTAATCCCCTCCGATGCTTAAGTTAGTATTTGCGTTCATAATAAAAATAATCAGATAAGAGTAGAGGGTAGAGAGAGTGTACCTTGAGTTTGTTTGAAAAAGATCGACATAACTTACATGAAGTATGCTTTTAGGTGGATGGTATTCCAGGATCTTGGCAGGACGTTGCCTTCAACAGTGGCTAGCCAATATGCCCCCTTTCCTTCTTTTTAATCAATGAGATACAGTCCTTCCCATTTAGGTGTCAATTTACATGTACTGGGATCCATGGTATTTTGGAACGTTTTCTTAAGTTCCAAGTCACCTATCTATTTTGTTTGATAAACGAGAGCAATTCCTTGTCTCGTACTTGAATAAAGGATTCAGCCTCTATCCATTTTGAGAAGTAGTCTGTCATCACTAGAATGAACACCTTTCCCCCAGGGGCCTTTGGCAGCTTTCCAACTATATCCATTCCCCATTTCATGAATGGCCAAGGGGAAATGAAAGGATGCAACGGTTTTGTTGGTTGATGTAGGATGTTGCTATGTCTTTTTCAAGCATCACATTTTTAGGCATGCAAGAAAGCATCTTTTTTAATTGTTGGTTAGTAGTATCCGGTACTTAATGCTTTGGAGCATAAGCATCTGACCCCATTGTGGTTGCCATCATCTCCTTCGTGTATATCTTTTAGGACTTCTGCAACTTCATGATCTTCTAAGAATTTAAGGTATGGACCTGCCATGGATTTCTTGTATAGTTTTTCGTGGATCATCACAAATCGTGAGACCCTCATCTTAAATTCCCTCTCACTTTTTTCTTCTCTTGGGATCGTGCCATTTTGGAGGTATTCCGCAATGGGTTGGAACCAAGATTTGGAGTGTTGTGGAGGATCCTGGCGGTTAGGATCCTGAGGAAGTGATTGAGGGTCAGGATCTTCGATTATGGCCACGTTAGTTGTTTGGTCATGGTGATTAGGATCATCTGGTTTATTGGAGGGATCTTCTATCGTTAGGATCAGTATATGGGTTATAGGGATCCTGATTTCTGGCAGGATCCTAAGGGAAGATCCTAGGTTGGCTAGCGCGTCAGCCTCGACATTTTCTTCTCTGGGAACTTGGCTTAGGCTGAAAGCTTCGAATTCAAAGGCCTTCTTTTTGAGGATTTGGAGGTATAGTGTTAGTCTTTCGCCTTTTATTGCATAAGGTCCATTAAATGGTTAGTTAATAATCAGGAATGAACGACTACTTGAAGATCCTTGGCTAGCTGTAATCCCATGTTTAATGCTTCGTACTCAGCTTCGTTGGTGGTTGCATCGAATTCACAGCTGACTGCTTGGGGTATGATGTCCCCATGTAGCGATTTTAGTATGATCCCTAGGCCTCTTCCTCTAAAGTTTGAGGATCCGTCAGTGAAAAGTGTCTATTTTCCCATGCTTTCTTCTTTCTAGATCAGCACTGAATTCAGCCACAAAGTCTGCTAGTGCTTGTGACTTTATTGCTGGTCTTGGTTCATACTTGATGTCAAATCTGCTTAGCTTCACGGACCACTTTGCCATCCTACCTGACATTAGGGATGTCAACGGGACCAAACGGGAGAAGAAATTTATGCCTCTGCCCCCGCCCCTGAAATAAGTTGTTGCCCCCGCCCCCAGATCCCCCGTTTACATAACCCCCGGTGACCTCCATCTCCCCCGGTCCCGCCCCCGTTCCCCCAGTTTATAGGCTTAAAATTGGATTTTTTTTTCTAAAAAATTGTTATGTTCTAGGCTAAAAAGACTATTTTTAATAACTTTAAAAGCTTAAAACCTAATATTTTAGAAACTAAAAAATTAAAAATCCAACATTACAAAAGGACAATTCCAACAAACTTACAAATATGAAATACAACAAATCCAACATTACGAATGTAAAATACGACAAATCCAACACTACAAATATAAAATACTGACATGTCCAAAAATATATGACCAATTCACTACATCTTCAATATCCAATTATCCATTAATTGCCTTCAACTCTTCATTCATTGACATTTGAATATCCTCCCTAAATAAATAAATAAAATAACAATAAAATGAATTGTTATATTAGTGTATTCAATACAAAACGACAAATTGACCAATCTTACCTCAATTCCCTCGTCGTCTTCATCGAAATCTAAATCATCAATATCAATAACACAACCTAACAAAGAGAAAAATAAATAAAGGTAATAAGCAAAATATATTAAAATGAATAAAACAAATAATTGTTCAACAAAAGTCATACATACCTTTTTTACCCGCCCATAGCCAATTTTAAGTGCATATGATAGCTTCAATTGTTGATAGAAGAAGTATACTCCTATGTGGACCAACGATTCTACCACTTGTATAAAAAGAAGTCTCTGAAGCAACATTGGAGATAGGAGTGGCTAATATGTCTTTTGCAATCAAACACAATGTAGGATACTTAACCCCATTTAATTTCCACCAACCTAACACGTCAAAATCATGAATCCGGGGTAAAGTGCCTTGCTCTAAGTACCTTTCTAATTCATTTTTTACAAAAACTTCACTAGTAGAAGAATTTCATGAAAAAAAGTATCTAATGAGTCCATGTCACTTCCAGGAGCTGCATCTCGACTAGAAGTGGACCTACTGGTAATATCATCATTAATTGCTTGACTCATAACGCTTGACTCATATCGTTGATATATATCTTCACAAATTTGACACACTTTCTGAATTTCATATTTTTGCATTATCTACTCCATAGATAATAGGAAAAAAATACTCTAGGAGATTCATCTTAAACCTTGGATCCAATATGGTCGCCATAGCCAAAACCCCGTCACTTTCTTTCTAATACTCATCAAACTTTGTAATCATATTTTCGGACATTTCGCTTATTTCAATGAAACTAGATGTATCCCACTTCTTTTGAGAAATATTTATTTCACATATTTTGGGGAAAAAAATGTTGGTTGTTGGATATATTGTTCCCGAAAATAATTCTGTGAAATTATAGAAGATTTTTAGTCTATCACAAAGCTCACATGCCAAACCCCACTCTTTCTCATCAGGCGCACTCTTATATTGGGGCTCATGTTGTTATAACCGATAAAACACCTTCTTATATTTCAAAGTCGTGGAATGCATTAAATATGTAGAATCCCATCGTGTTTTACAATCAACAACTAGGTTTTTTCTCAAGAAACGTTTTCAAACTTTGCATTATTTTGAAATGTATCAAGTCTTATTGGTGTAGCTGTCCCAAAACTACAACTGTTACGAACTTTCTCAATCCCATGTCCAAAAACATCCAACCCACTCCTCACAATTAAATTCAAAATATGCGCAACACATCGCATATGAAACAAGCTTCTACCCAAAAGCAAGCTATCAAAAGGAAGTTTGTCTACCATCAAGTCTATCATGCAATTATTTGTTGAACAATTATCAACAGTTAAAATTGATAATATTCTATCTATGTTCCAGTCCAACAAACTATCCATCAACACATTAGTTAGTTTCTCATCAGTATGGGGACAAGGCATATATATAAACCAACCAGTTAACAAAATAAATTTAATTTAATTAAAGAATGCATACTGATAGATTAAACAAATTAATATAAATTAATTATTACCTCAAAAGACGACTTTGTAATTACCAAGAATCATCAATGAAATGGCTTGTCACTGTCATGTATCCTTTTTTTTGTTAGTTGGCAGTCCACATGTTTGTAGTTATTGTAATCCTACCTTGAATACTCTCCAAAAAATGCATCATCCTTGCCTTTTCCTCACCGTACAACTTCATGACATCAAATCTAGCTGTGTTTCTACAAATCGGCCTAAAAAGTGGTTGGAGCCCCTGACAAAAATCTCTAAAGCCTTCGTGTTCAACAATTCTAAGTGGGTAATCATGTTTTGTGATCATTTTAGCAAGATCAGTTCGCGAATCATCATAATTAAACCTATGTGTTGGTAAAATTGATCCCCCACTTTAATCCGTCTTAGATCTTTTTCCGGTTAACTTACTCTGAAAATCATCAATTTTCATATGTCGATTTCGTACTTTACATGCCTTATGGTGAGTATGCATCCCATTGGTTCCATTTTTGGTTGTATAAGTAATTTCCTTTCTACAATACTTAAAAACAACCTTTTTGGTTCCATTAGCATCTTCATAGGTGAAATGATGCCACACTAGAGATTTAAATTTCATTTGTTTCTCGTTACAGTCAACTGAAGAATTGGCGATATCATTAACCGTGTTTGAATCATTGGGTTGATTCGGCTCTAAAGACATGATTACATAAATCTGAAAATGGTCCAGGTTCACACAAAAACAAAAAATCAGTATTACCATATCAACATTACACAAAAACACAAAATCAGAATTACCAATTTACCATATCAGCATTACATAAATCAGCATCACCATATCATCATTACAAAGATCACCATTACCATATGAGCATTACATAAACAGAAAATCAAAGAACTGTGAAAGAATCAAACCTAATACATAAACAATAAATCATAAACAATAAATTGTTGTAGTTTGTGTATTTCAAATAATGTCTTAATTTTGTGGAAGCAGTTACTAATGCAAGTATTAGTTTTTCAAGATGGGAATACCTGGTCTCAAGAACCATGAGACTTTACTTACATAGTATATGGGATGTTGATCCCATTCAGATCCTTGGCTAAAACTGCACATACAGCATTAGAGGATACTGAAAGGTATAGGAGGAGTGGTTCCCCATCTAATGGTTTCACTAGCAAGGGTGCATAACTATGATAACTTTTGAGTTCCTGAAAAGCATCTATGTGCTCTTTAGTCCACTCAAATATTTTGTTCTTCTTCAAGATGTCACAGAAAGGCTTGCACCTTTCTGAGGATCTTGAGATTAACATGTTAAGTGCTGCTACTCTTCCTGTTAGTCTTTGAATATCCTTCGTCGACGATAGGGATCTTAAATCGACGATGGCTTTTATTTGCTCTGGGCTTGCTTCTATTCCTCTTTTAGTCACCATATATCGAAGGAATTTGCCTGACCTCATTCCAAAGTGGAAATTGGAAGGGTTCAAATTCATGTTATATACGTCTAGTATGTTGAAGGCGTCTTCAAGATCCTTAAGGTGATCCTTAACTTTCTTTGATTTTACCACCATTTCATCGATGTAGACTTCCATGGTATCCCCTATTTATCCTTGAACATCCGGTTGACTAACCTTTGGTATGTTGCACCTGCGTTTTTAAGACCAAAGGGAATAACAGTATAACAGTATATACATGTTGGGGTAATGAATGCGGTATCCTCTTGGTCAGATGGTTCCATTTGGATTTGTTGGAATCCCGTTGATGCATCCATAAACGTTAGCAGTTCATGGCCAGTGGTAGCATCTATCATGGAGTCTATGTGTGGTAGGGGGAAAGGATCCTTAGGGAAAGCTTTATTCAGATCCGTCTAGTCCACATATATTTTCCATTTTCCGTTCTTCATCTGCATGATGACCACGTTGGCTAGCCATCTTGGGAACTTCACTTCCTTGATCATCACTATTTTGATGAGCTTTTCTACTTCTTCTTGGATGATCTGGTTTCTTTCGGGTGCAAACTTTCTTCCCTTTTGGTATATGGGCCTGAAAGAAGGATCAATGTTAATTGTATGAGTTATTATATTCTTCTCTATACCTGTCAAATCCTCATGCTCCTAGGCGAATGATTTGCTTCTATCTTTCAGGAACTTTATTAGTTTCCGTTCTATTTGTTCTAGCAGTGAGTATCCTATCAGTATTTTGGCTTTAGGATCCTCGAGGTTCAGGGGAAATTCCTTTACATCATGTTCACTTGTCGCCAACACACCTCATGCCCCTTGCTTTAATTGATATGCTTTTTTTGATTTTGTTGAAGATTTCATCGAAGTCTTGTAACATTCCTTGGATTCTTGTTGATCACTTATGATCTTTACTGTCCCCCACAGAGTGGGCATTTTGACACATTGATGGTATGTCGAAGGGGCAACCTTTATATCGTGGATCCATGGTCTACCTAGTGTAACATTATAGGAGGACAATGTATCGATTACACAAAGGTGTTGCATAGAGTTTACCCCCTCTATGTAAATAAGTAGCTTTATTTCGTCGACGGTATGTTTTGTTTCACCATTGCATCTTATCAGCACTGAGGATCTTTTCACTATTTTGCCTTCGGGGATGTTCATCCTTTTTAGAGCATCCAGGAGTATGATGTTGACTGAGGATCGTCCACCAACAAGGATCCTTTTAACAAAATGGTCGGCAATATAAAGAGTGATTACCAAGCCATCGTGATGAGGATCCTGGACATCTATTCTATCTGTTTCGTTGAAGGTGATTTCCTTCTCGTTTGTGATCGATGTGTTTTTTCGTGGCCTTTCTTCTTTCTCCGTCTTCGATACTTTAGCATGTCTTTTCGCTACAGAATAAGAAGTGCCACAAATGTCAGATCCTACAGAATTCACATTAATTAACTTAGCAACCGCAGGAGGGGATCCTGGTTTTTCTATGATCTTATGAGGATCCTTATCCTTTTCTTTGGATCTTTCCTTTCTTCTTCCGAGGATCTCCTTGAGGTATCCTTTGTTGAGTAGGTAACCAATCCCTTTCCTTAGGGCTATGCATTCTTCTGTAATGTGACCAAAGTCCTCATGCTATGCACACTATTTGGACTTGTCTTCCAGATGGTGGACTTTTCTCCCTTTTTTGGCCATCTCGCTTTGTCGCCAAGATCCTGCATGGCAAATATTAGACCTGAAACATCCACAAAAAAACAATAGTTAGTGATCTTAGGAAATTCTTCTTCCTCCCCTTCATCTTCAAGGGCATTAACCCTATGATGATTAGGTCTGGAATAAGTTATAGATTTGTAGGATCTTTGGGCCGAGGATTCGGCCTTCCTATTAGGATTATCATATGAACTTTATGGGTTGCTCTTCTTTAGGATCTCCTTGTCTTCTTCGAGCCTTATGAACCTTAGTGCTCTACTCCTTACTTCATCCATTCTTTTACATGGAGTCGTTACAAGGTCTTCGTAGAAAGGAGAGTCTTTCTTTAGTCCCATTTTGAAGGCTTACGCGGCAGTTGTCGTGTCGATGTTGGGGATACTTAAAGCTTCCCTGCCAAACCGGTTCATGAAATCCCTGAGGGATTCCTTAGGATCCTAAACCACTCGATAGATATCACTAGTGATCTTTTCGAATGTTTTGCTACAAGAAGATTGGTTGTTAAAAATATTAACTAAATGTTCAAACGAAGTAATAGAGTAAGGAGGAAGAATTAGTATCCATTTCAAGGTTGATCCTGTGAGGGTGGAACGAAAACCCTTTCACAGGCAAGCTTCCTTCAAGTGTGTGGGAATGGGGATGATATCCATTCTTCCCCTGTATTGTGCCACATGTTCTTCAGGATCTGTGGTCCCGTCATAAGGCTTCATGCTGGGAGTTTGGAAGCGCTATCGGAACTCGGTGTCAGCGATTGTAGGAGTGAATCTCGAGATCATGTAGCTTGTTGGGAAGGCTTCTGGTATATGTTGGACTTGATCTCTTCCTACATCAACATCCATAGAGTTAGTGGTAAAGGTATTATTATTGGCGAAGTTACCAGGATCCTTGTTATTGGGAGTAACGAACGTTTCGTCGGGATCCTAGATCGTATGGGCTTGCTTTCTTAGAGCCATGTCCCAGGATAGAACAGAGTTCGGTATTGAGGATCCTATCTCGCGACGGTTCGCTGAGGATCCCGTGTTGTCGAAGTTTTAGATCTTGGGCTGCAAGATCAAGGGTGCTGCTTCTTGAGGCTTGCAGATCTCTTCCATCATTCTCTTTACTTCCTTTAGTATCGTCCTATTATCCTCCTACTGTTGGGTGACTTGTCGTTCCAGTCTCTTCATCGTAGCGAGGATTTCGTTATTGGAAATCAGTACAGGAGGATCCTAAAATCCTTGGGTAGCGACTGCAGAGGTGTTTTTCTTCGGTGCCATAGAAGTTTTTTTTGGAGCTCCACCTGGGGGTGGAGGAATACTTTTAGAAGAAATGGGAGGATTTGAGGAAGAGGATAAGGTCGGCTGGGTAGACATGATTCTCGAACAATTATGAACATCACGGCCCCATGGTGGGCGCCGAATTTTTTTGGTCAAAAATTGATCAAGTGCAATTCGACCAAATTGTATGAGAGATTGTGGTGTTAGTATAATGTAAATATCAAATGGTAATCAAAGTGAGACAAATGAGTTACAAGGAAAGCTCTTGATCCTTTGTAGGATCTCTAGCATAAAACCTTGGGAGGTGATAATAATCACCTGCCTTGATGTGTTTTGTTGATTTTAATCTGAGATTACAAAGATTATGAAAGTAATACAAGTACAAGAGTAATGCTAGGGCTAATCATCTATGTTGTGTTCTAGATACATGTGTTATTTATAGTCTACAGTAAGTAACAAGAAGTCTGATAATTCTGGGATCCTCCGGAATCAGCATATGAACGTTATTTGACTTGGTATTCTGGGTCTTTTACCTGGTTCAGATGACTCTCCGTTGAGAATGGATCTTGTGTTGACTAGTTATGCACATGTGAGAAAAATAAAGAAAATATAGCCGTTACAATTGTTAGAAATATTAGTGGTAATAGTTAGGATCCTGGGATATGTTTAAGGATCCTGAGGCTTTAGAAATATTTGAGGATCCTGAATATGATTCAAGGATCCTGCACTTAACAGTTAGGATCTCTGAAACGACGCCAACATATTCCATAAGCTCCCTCTAACCATTTTGAAATCTAGGCATCTTATAAAGAAAACTCGAGAGACCACTCGGAAACCCACAACTGCCAACAAACAACCTAATAATTTAAAAATATTCAACCACAACAACTATTTTTCTCCCCTAACTCTATAACCCAACTGCGAGGAAACCACTCAAACTGGGAACTCCCAGAACTACAACCACAAACCAAGTTTGTCACTATACTCCCCGAAAACGGGAACCCATCAATCTAAACTTCAAAAACCTTACCCTAAGACTAACGTTCATCAAATCATCGAACCTATCCCTAGTTCCCTAACTAGGAACACAACCAAATCATGCAGAAAGAATTCTGAAACATTCTGATCATGAATTTCACTCAATCCCAAATCCAAAAATTATGACCAAAAACCTTAAATATACTCTTGACTTCCTGGCAAGTCATAACCAACCCGCTGACCCCACGAGCATAATGATGGTTAATCAAGGAATTATCACGTTGCATCCAAATCCCTCATCAGCT